TACCACTAGACCAAAATAGAGGCTACCACTAGACCAAAACAGAGACTACACCTACACCAAAATAGAGACAACCACTACACCAAAATAGAGACAACCACTAGACCAAGATAGAGACTACCACTAGACCAAAACAGAGGCTACCACTACACCAAAATAAACACTACCACTACATCATTCGGTCATTTGCTTCTCTCCCTTCATTTCAATGCCATTTTTCAATGCCATTCAATGCCATTCAATACCATTTTTTGGTTAACTTTAAAAGCATTTATCCTGATCTTAGAGGGCGTTTGGGAGATTTGATTTTAGATTTGATTTTAGATTTGATTTTAGATTTGCTTTTAGATTTGATTTTAGATTTGAGTAAAGATTCGGAATCAGCCTCAGAATTAATGATGCTGATTCCGAATTAATGAAAAAAATGATCAAATCAGGGAAAAGCTAGTCTAAATGTGGTAGGAAACGTTTTTAAAAGCTGATACTAAAGTTGAGGAACCTTTCTTGTAAAAGGCTTAAGAGTAACTTACCGTAAATACTGTAATAGTGCCCCACCCCCATAATGACGGTGCGCAGTGTTGCGTAGTCTAACTTTGAACGAGTTTTTCATCATTTTCAATAGTGTTCGGAAATTCTTCCGATAAAAATCTATTTCTCTCGTAATCCTCCTATTTTGTCTTTGAAATCTTCCCACGATTTCCCTAGCCAAAACATAGACATTTCTAAAACATTTCCCGGACTGCGCACCAAAAATGTTGGGTATAGGCTGTATCCAAATCCCTTGGTTCAAGGTAGAAAATTATTTATTAAAGCACCGGAGGGTGTATATATCGAAAAGTTGAGGGGGAAATGTTTTAGAAATGTCTATGTTTTGGCTAGGGAAATCGTGGGAAGATTTCAAAGACAAAATAGGAGGATTACGAGAGAAATAGATTTTTATCGGAAGAATTTCCGAACAAATAGTTTATAACATTCATCGATATCTGGTTTCTATCGTTGGAAATTTATGAAAATGTCCATCCGCATTTCTTATGCATTTACAGTTATGAGCTTTTGGTTTTACTTATTAAGGTATATCTTTGAGATATGATATCAGAGTTTTCTGGATCTCAGGCGGTTCCCGGAGCTAAGGTGCAAGCGATTGCCCTTGTTTAGGCTTTGGCTTGAGCTTTGGCTTGAGCTTTGGCTTGAGCTTTGGCTTGAGCTTTGGCTTGAGCTTTGGCTTGAGCTTTGGCTTCATCCATCTAGATCCCTTCAGTTTCTTTTGCAATAGAGATTCCTGTTTTGCATTGTATTGCATTGGAATCAGTTCGAATTTCTTGAAAACCACTTGAAATTGAAATCGAGTCAGATCGGACTTTGTTGTTTGTTATTGTCTGAAAGGAAATTGTAGGGAAATCGAAAGCAAATCGAAAGCAAATCGAAAGCAAAACCTTTTATTCAATAATCGTGATTAGATTGATGTCTTTGTGAGTCGACGTGTTCCATACGCTTTTTGAATTTCGCTTTTGTCGCAGAGCGACAACACACGAACTCGAGTCTTTTTTGGATTCTGTGGAAGATTGAAAATGATGATGACAAGGCTGAAAGGGGAATTTGCTTCTGAAAAAGTATATTCTTAGATTGATTGATTGATTGATTGAAGGCTTAGGCTTAGGCTTAGGCTTGAAGGAGAAGCTGAAGGAGAAGCTTGAATTCATCATTTCTCATTTCTCTGTCATAAAGCATCATTTCTCTGTTATTAATTAGCGTAAATAAACCGTCAAAAAAACAAATGTCATGTCATTTATCCAAACTCGTAAAAGAAGTTAGAATTTGAGTTGACTTTTTGAACTTGTCCAGTGCTTTTTCTCTCTACAAACCTTAAAACACAATGTCCAAGGAAAGGCTCGGCTTCGTAAAAGAAGAAATACCAGAACTCTTGATAGAATTGCCATGAGACAAAATAGTGAAATGAAGTCTCAACAATCCAAATTGTACCCGTGATTAACATCTGAAAAAGAGTTGAAAAGCTTTAAAAAAGGGATATTTATCATGTACCATGATCGCTAAACGTAGATCAGCTCTTTTCTTTGCTTCAGGGGATTTAATCTAGAAAGTTAAATGTAAAAGTAAAAGTAAAAGTAAAGTAAATGTAAAGTAAAAGTCAATGTAAAGTCAATGTAAAGTCAATGTAAAGTAAACGTAAATGTAAATGTAAAACTGTCCAACAAATCCATCAAATCAGTGATTTCCTGTTTTCTAAAAGCCGCTAAAACTACCGTAATCCAATCTTCAAACTTTCAATTTGATCAGCCAAATTTCGGTATCGATGAGAGCTTACAATGATGCGAAAATTGGGCTCATTGAATGTAGACTGGCAATTTGATTACGGCTCAGGCTTAGGCTTGTTTTGTCTTGATTACGGTAGTTTTGGTGCCTTTTAGAATCACTCTAAATGGACACACTCTAGTCTTGATTCTATCTTAAGTACTAAACCTAAAATAGCCAATCAAGCCAATATTGTAACGAAAAAATCCGTCTTTGCCTTTTTTGCCGTTGGGAATTGAAGATTTCTCGTCTTTTTCTCAGCTTCAACTCTTCCATTTTGGCTATATTGATTATCATTCGATGCAGAATAAGATTACGCGTCGAATGATACCAAAATGAACTCAAAATATAATATCCACGCAAAGTTATGAAGCAAAATGGGCGAGGTTTGTTTTTATCCAAAAACTTTGCATGGATATTATATTTTGAGTTCATTTTGGTATCATTCGACGCGTAATCTTATTCTGCATCGAATGATAATCAATATAGCCAAAAGGGAAGAGTTGAAGCTGAGAAAAAGACTAGAAATCTTCAATTGCTAGGCAAAAAAAGGCGACGACGGATTTTTTTGTTGCAAACCTATCTAAGTACTAAAGTTACCAAAAGATTTCGAAAATCCAACCGTGAGCCGAATCCCTAACACCGTGACCACATCGAGCACCATTGCGAAGACGAGAAACCCGAATACAATATAATCTACCGTATACCCAATAGTGTCGAAGAAGTTGTTAATATTAAACCAAATGAACACATAGAATTCACTGGGGGAAAAGAATGGACCCGCATAGCAATGGAAGTTCGTTCCCGGCTCGACCACTGGAAAACCCGAACACAATATAATCTACCCAATCAACCACTGGAGTTTTTGAGTTTTCCTTATTCTTTTAAGTGATAATGACGGGATTCTTTCGTTACAAATCGATTAAGTGCTAAAGTTACCGAAACTGATTGCATCAGAAGCCTTATGTTTACAGCTTTACACAATTGTTCTTTGTGGTGAATTGCCACTGCTCTGCAGTTAGTCAAAAATTCAATACAAAAGTTAAAAATTGAAAGTTGATGGATAAACTACCGTAATCAGTCACTAGACGATATTCAGCTGTCCGTTTGTTGTAGCTTGTATACTTAAAAGGCCCGTCTCACAAGAAATTATATAGATCAAAACATATTTCTTACATTCTTCTTCTTCTTGTTTGTTTTGAGTTTTCCGTTTTCTTTTAATAGCTGCCATTGTGCCCTAATAGCTGCCATTGTGCGGAATTGCCATTCTGTTAAGTCTGCCAAGTCTACCAAGTCTACCAAGTCTGCCAAGTCTACCAAGTCTGCCAAGCACCAAGTCACCAGCGCCAAGTCACCAGCGCCAAGCACCAAGCACCAAGCACCAAGCGCCAAGCACCAAGCCCAAGCACCAAGCGCCAGTCACCAAGCGCCAAGTCTACCAAGCTACCAAGTCTACCAAGTCTGCAGTCACCAAGTCGCCAAGCACCAAGCACCGTCTGCCAAGCCCAGCGCCAGTCTACCAGCGCCAGCACCAAGCACAGCTGCAGCTACCAAGCTGCCGTCTACCAAGTCTACCAAGTCTGCCAAGTCTACCAAGTCTGCCAAGTCTACCAAGTCTGCCAAGTCTACCAAGTCTGCCAAGTCTCAACTCAAGTTTAACCTTTTTTTAACAACTCACAATCACCGACTTGCATCAATTGATAAATGATCGGTGCAATGAAACAAAATAAAGCGTGCACGATGGTGAATCTTTGAATTCTCTCATAGTAAAAGCCGTTAAAGAAAACGGCAAAGATTCTAAAGAAAATCGTTTTGGATTGTTTGGATTTGATCTACCGATTGATTGACAAAGAGTGAAGAAGCAATTCCATCGAGTAAACCATTCCCAAGCTGAACGCGATCACGATTCGATTCAGGAGAATGCCGGAGAGACCATCAGTTTGAACACAATGCCAACTGAAAAAATTGGAAAGATTTTCAAATCAAACTTTGGAATGTCTTTGGCTATAAAAAATGTCTTTGGCTATAAAAAAGTCGAAGATGGACTCGAACCAGACATGACTTGTTTTGTATTCTAACCCACTACCACTTGGCTACCACTGCCTCTCGGAGTCTGTGGGAAGATTAGGATTAAATCTGGTCACCAATCCCTTGTGCGTTTAAATTCAAACGATTTTCAAGGGGACTTCAAATGGGCTTCAAATGGGTTTTCTTTAACCAACGACTCGCTTGTCGGCATGGCGCAGTCGGGAGGGCGCTTGTCTACAACCCATAGGATCCGGGTTCGGCTCCTCGTAGTGCCACTCAACTTTGAATTTTGGATTTTAAATATCATAACTATATTATATTTTTGATATCATAACTATATTATATTTTTAAGAATTTAAGTGTTTTGGTCCAAAGATTAGTGAGAAAAAGTCTGTAGAGACAAACAGACTGCTTTTAGATAATATTGTCAGTTCTAGATTGAAGACTGCTCGAAATTTTAAAACTCACGTCAGCACACAAGTTCCTTTATAAATATAGAATAAACTTTCACATATTCGACAAAACGTATCAAGAAGTAGCAAGAATTTCACACTTTTCGAGAGGCTTTCTTTCTTTGAGATAAAATAAGCACATAGAAAGTTGAGTGGCAAGGCGGAAAGGCCAAACTGGAAAATTTTTCAATAACAAATAATTGTTTCCGATCAAACTATTAAATAAATAGCAATAATGTATGATTTGATGTCATCGTTGGCGTTTGTTCTGATCGGAATCCCGTTCCAATTGTAGGCGATCCCTGGTGGGTTGTCCCACATTAAACCCTTCTGAAAAGATTCTTCTTTGAAAGCTTATGGACCATAAACTCTTGGACCAATTGGAATGGGACCAATTGGAATGGGACCAATTGGAATGGGACCAATTGGAATGGGACCAAATGGAATTGGACCAATTGGAATGGGACCAATGGAATGGGACCAATTGGAATGGGACCAATTGGAATGGGACCAATTGGAATGGGACCAATTGGAATGGGACCAATTGGAATGGGACCAATTGGAATGGGACCAATTGGAATGGGACCAATTGGAATGGGACCAATTGGAATGGGACCAATTGGAATGGGACCAATTGGAATGGGACCAATTGGAATGGGACCAATTGGAATGGGACCAATGGAATGGGACCAATTGGAATGGGACCAATTGGAATGGGACCAATTGGAATGGGACCAATTGGAATGGGACCAATTGGAATGGGACCAATTGGAATGGGACCAATTGGAATGGGACCAATTGGAATGGGACCAATTGGAATGGGACCAATTGGAATGGGACCAATTGGAATGGGACCAATTGGAATGGGACCAATTGGAATGGGACCAATTGGAATGGGACCAATTGGGATTGGACCAATTGGAATGGGACCAAATGGAATTAGACCAATTGGAATTGGACCAATTGGGATTAGACCAATTGGAATTGGACCAATTGGAATTGGACCAATTGGAATTCGACCAATTGGAATTCGACCAATTGGGATTGGACCAATTGGAATTGGACCAGTTGGAATGGGACCAGTTGGAATGGGACCAAATGGAATTGGACCAGTTGGAATTGGACCAGTTGGAATTGGACCAATTTTCATCGTTATTGAGTTAAATTCCATCGTTTTCCACATTAAATAAACCCAATTGAATATCTTTTTAGCCTCTCTTCTCTTATTGAAATTCTCCTGGCAATTCTTCTAGCAATGGTCAACAGAATCGATCACTGACTGAATCTAGCATCCCTACCTCCCACTATCGTCATTACAAAGTGTTCAAGATTTATTAAAATCATCAGATTACTATTAGAACTCATTTTGTACAAGTTTTTGTACAAGAAATTCTTATCAATACTCTTTAGAAGCTTTAATTTAATCTCAATTGCCTTTTTCGCTTTTGGTGACCGATGAATCGATTTTTAGAATATCAAACTGTAGAAATACTGTAGAAATAAGCTAAAAACTCGAATCTATTACAACTCCTATCCAATGCTTTCTTAACGATAAACCAATTTTGAGAGCGCTTTGAGGGCCTAAGCCTAAGCCTAAGCTCAAAAGTTGCCATAAATCTTGAACGCTTGATTCTTTGAACGTCACCATTCTCTTCCAAATTCTCATTCTCTGGCCTCTAAAACTCTAAAACTCTAAAAAACTAAATATATATGGATGTGCATGTGCTTCAAAGTCAAAGGAAGAAGATAGTGACGACCCAGCTTTAATATTAGCCTAGAAAAGTCAAGTCGAAGTCAAGTCCAAGCCAGCAATTTCAAATCAAATCTAGATCAAGCCAGAGTCAGATTAAACCAGCTTGTCTTGAGCCTTAGGTAGATAGCCTAGCCTTAGAAAAACTATTTTTGAGGTAACCCTACCTAGAACTGAATGCTGGCCTCTAACCTGATCTCTAGGCTTTAGAACAACGAAAATAGTGAGAAGCATATCTAACTTTTGTTTCAATACTTGCTGAAAAGGTTTCTTTCAAGTTATTCTATTAGTTTAGCTCAACTTTTGCCCGTTTCTCTCACCGAATTCGCGCATTTCTGCGAGCTGCTTATATATTCGCCAGCAGCTTGCGATTTCCGATGTGGATCATCCAAATAGTACCAATACTCATCTCCATCGACCGCTTGAATGAGCAATGCTCGCCGGCCATTGTACTCATGAATCTCAGCCATTACAGTAAAAAAGATGATGAATTCAAAGCTCAAAGAATCTAGTCTAAGAGTTCTATTATTTAAATGCCTTGTTTTTCCAAATCTGGCTGGGTGGCTGAGCCGAAAACAAAAAGGATTCAATTTTCGGCGATTTATTAGCGAAAAACGTGTCTGACCACCTTTTTGCGGGTCTTTTTTTGAATATTGAAAACAAAAAAGGGTTAAAAAGGGGCTTTTCTGGGGAAATTGATCTTTGAGATTGAAGAAATGAGTAATCGAATTTGTAATAAGTAAAGTAATGATTAATTTTAATAGTAATGAGTAATAGTAATGAGTAATTTGTAAACTTTTGATTTAGAAACCTATTTTTGTCTGTAATGTCAAAGATTGAAAAGTCAAAGATTCAAATTGAAACTGTGAAATTGTTTTTAACGATAACTATTTGATGTTAAAAGCCAAGACTTTTATGAAAAGTAGTTTGAAATAAAGTTGTATTTGAAATAGAGAACAATTAACTTTGCAAATTTAAAAAAGTAAACGAAAATAGTCGGAGGGCAGACTCGAACCCGAGAGGGCCTGTCTTGGATTCTAGCCCACTGCCACTCGGCTACCACTGCCTGTGGAGACCCTCGGGAAATCTGCTGATAAACTCTGCTTATAAAGAAATCTCATAACTTGCTTACTTATAACCTTTGCCCATACAAATTCCCATACAAAACTTTAAACACTTAGAACTTTTGACAGAGTGCTCCATTTCAAAAACGGAAAGCAGATTCGGAATCAGCGGAAAATTTTGTGTCCAGAAACATATAGCTTATCTCATTTGACTTTCTCCATTATCAGTTTTTAAGCACAACTTTCATTCCATGTAAAAATGATCTCTTATCAGAGACATCAGTTCACGACTTGACACTAGAGTTACCGTATTCCCTTTGCTCACTCGATAAACTACATCTGCCTTTGTCTTTTCTAAGCGCGCAATTGAAAACGATTTGAATGTAATTGATACGTTCTTTTTTATATAATTGAAATTCTTTTTTATATAATTGTTTGATCTTAAAATTGTTTAATTCTTAAAATTTTTAATATTAATTTATTATTATACATTATTTCAAAATTTATTAGATCACTTCACGAAAGAAGCTCAAAAAGAAGATGAAGGGAAAGCTGAAGAAAGTTGGAAACAAGGAGAAATCGGTGAGTTCAGTTTCTTTAAAGATTTTCAAAGATTTCAAAGATTTCAAAGGCTTTCAAAGGCTTTCAAAGCTTTTCAAAGTCTTCAAAGTCTTCAAAGCTTTTCAAAGACTTTCAAAGGCTTACAAAGACTTTCAAAGTCTTCAAAGGCTTTCAAAGCTTTTCAAAGGCTTTCAAAGTCTTCAAAGTCTTCAAAGGCTTTCAAAGGCTTTCAAAGGCTTTCCAAAGCTTTTCAAAGTCTTCAAAGTCTTCAAAGGCTTACAAAGCTTTTCAAAGACTTTCAAAGGCTTACAAAGTCTTCAAAGTCTTCAAAGGCTTTCCAAGGCTTTCAAAGTCTTCAAAGTCTTCAAAGGCTTTCAAAGGCTTTCAAAGGCTTACAAAGCTTTTCAAAGTCTTCAAAGTCTGCAAAGTCTTCAAAGCTTTCCAAAGACTTTCAAAGCTTTTCAAAACATTTAATTCTATAGGGAGTTTTATTTTTTCTTTTTATTTGCTTATTTCTTGAATTTCTAGTCAACGTCAACAAAGAAAATCGCTGAAAATTCAAAGGTAATTTTTAAAAAAAAGATCACCAAGCAAAATGTTTATTTCAGAAATCCAGAGAGATTGTAAAGAAGAAAAAGATTGTAAAGAAGGAAAAGATTGCTAAGATTGTTAAGAAGAAAAAGCTGAAGGAGCAAAGGGAAGAGAAGAAAAGCGCTAAAAAGGAAAACAATTCAAAAACCGAATCAAAAGCCGAATCGATCAATGAAAAGTCAAAAAAGGCGACGAAAATGAAAGAGAAATTGGATGAAGAGATGCATTCGTTGAAGTTTGTTTCTTTGTTTCATTTAAATTAACACCAATTAACCCCAATTCTCACTAAAATCAAATTCTCGATCAAATTTACAGTTCTATATCTTCAAAATCAATCAATCAATCAATCAACTAATCAAATAAATCAGACATTTCCAATCGATTTCCCTTTTTTCTATTAACTTTTGTAAAAATCAGTTCTTTTTCAAATTTAACCAAAAAAAGTTAATGGATTTGATTTAAAATCAGAATTAAGCCATTTCAAAACTTCTTTTCTAAACAATTGTTAATGATCATCTCCCAAATTCTTTAGAAAGATCAAAATCGAAAACGATGACGATTTGGAAGAAGCCGGTTTAATCACAAAGCCTCCAGCGGAAAATCTAGATATTGTGATTGAAGCTTTTGAGAAAGTCAAGCAAGAATATGGAGAGATTCAGAAAATTGATGGATTTGTGCGTTTATAAAGTGAAAATGATTGAATTTTCTTTCTATTTTAGCGATCTTGGAATAAAGCGATGAGCTCAGCGCAAAAGAGTGCGCTGAATCGAGTGAATCGCTTGTATGAGACGGCAAAAGACGTTCCGGAGTGTTGCTTTTCGATGGCAAGCTATTCAAAGCTTCAGGTATTGAGGGGTTATTGGGAAGATGAAGAGAGTTTTTTCAGATTGATGATAAACAAAAGCAGAAAGTCGTCGTTTTGCCTAAAGTTGAGTCGTTGGCGAGGAAAATGATGTGGACACACACCGAGGGGAATATACCGGTAAATCATTCTGGGTTTAGAGTTAAGGTGGCAAAACTTGGCTACTAATTCAATCAGGAGTTATTGTTGATCTAGTTAAACGCTTTATAAGTAGTAGAAATCCCTAGTAGACATGGGGCAGTTTGGGGCCCCAAATAGGGGCAGGTTGGGGCCCCAAATCGGCACAGTTTGGGGCCCCAAATCGGCGCGGTTTGGGGCCCCAAATCGGCGAAGTTTGGGGCCCCAGATCGGCACAGTTTGGGGCCCCAAATAGGGGCAGGTTGGGGCCCCAAATCGGCACAGTTTGGGGCCCCAAATCGGCGCAGTTTGGGGCCCCAGATCGGCACAGTTTGGGGCCCCAAATAGGGCCAGTTTGGGGTCCTTCACAGCCACAATATTTTACCCAAAAGTCTTTATCAAAACAAGTTATTGTTTTGATTATTTTTGCATTAAATAAAGCTTCTTATGGGCTACATTTTGACCTATAATCCTTCTCAATGTCTTTTTCAATTAAACGAGAAAAACCTGTTTCACCCATGGCCCCGACCCGAAAGCCTCTTCGGCCACTGGTCAAACGTATTTATTTCATTCATCCACAGGAGGTTTTGCTATGCAATTACATGACAAAATGTAGCCCATAAGATGATTTATATAATGCAAAAAGAAATAGATCAATAACTTTTCTTTCGGTAAAAATTATTAGCCAAAATATCTTCCCCCCGATTTCCCATGTCCTTTTCTCAACATTTTCACGTTTTACGCTCCGTTTTCAACCATTTCCAGGACCCTATTTAGTTCCTTATCATTTATATAGACTTTAAAAGGCTGTTTTAGTTGTTTTAGTGATTTAAAGAAAAAACAAAAATGATTTGACAGTGAGCGGATCCGAACCAAGGACCTGAACGATTAGAACCAGCGCGACAGTCTAGCCCACTACCCACTAGACCACCTGTCCACTGTTTGTGGAAAGTAATTCAGCCCCATACCCCCGCTGTGCCGTTTTTCCAAAAAGTGCTCAAACTTCAAGACCGACGGTTCTTTAACGCCCTCTAGAGTAAGGCAGACCAGGTTCATTATGGTGTAATGGTTAGCACAGTTGGCTGGTAAGCGGAAGGTCGCGGGTTCGACCCCCAACGCCGCACATCTTTTTGATCTGCCCTAGTTCCAATCCGTAATCGATTAAAATTTTAATTGACCAACTTTAATTGGTTAGTTAATTAAGAATTAAGAACACACTCTATCCCATTTATCTCAAATTTCAGATGACTTTTCACAGGTTGATCCTTGGTGTATAAAATGAAAAAATGCCTAGATTTGAGAGAAAAATGATTGTAGGGTGAAAACGAGCTCCACCTCACTCACATTCCATTCATTGGGGACACGGATGAAGAGCTAGACTTTGGACGATACTTGTTACCGTTTTTTCCAGAGGTAAGTGTTTGAAGTGGTTTGGAAATGGCAACTTGATGAAAAGCTTTGATTTTGACTTTTTAAAGAAAAACCCTAGACATCTAGAATCAGAATTTCTTTTATTTTCTTGATATCAATGCAAATTTATTGTCAAAATCCCTCTTATTAGATTTATTAGACAAATTTGAGTTCAAATCTAGCTGATCTTCTTTTACAGGGTATTCATGGGGTTCGTCATGGTCTTGGCGATTATATCAACGATTGGATGTTGAATGAATTGTATCAAAGTTTAAAGAAAAGGTCTGAAAACAATCCATTTCTTTGTTTGCATTTTTTAAAGTTTTCAGATTTGACAAAGAAGATGATCTCTTTGAAGCGATCTACTACTTGTTTCCGAATAAATTGTCCCCAACTCAGCTGAAAGAACAGTGAGTGGAGGAAGGTTTTCTCGTGAAAAGTACGCTTTAGAGTACCCGATATTGAGGCTAGGTTGAATGGGATTCTTTCGCCGAAAAAGAAACGAAGTAATGAGGTGAGAAATTGGTTTTCTTGAACTAGGTCTAGCTTCTGGACTTGATCTGCTTCCAAGTTTGGATCTAGCTTCTGGACTTGATCTAGCTTCTAGTCTGGATCTAGCTTCTGGACTTGATCTAGCTTCTAGTCTGGATCTAGCTTCTGGACTTGATCTAGCTTCTGGACTTGATCTAGCTTCTGGACCTTGGTCGGCCATCCAAGCCTGGACCTAGGTCGGCCATAGACCTGGCCCTGGTTCTTGGTTGGACTTGGCTTCAGAACTGGAGCTGGCTTATGAGCTCAGGCTTAGGCTTAGGCTTGTTGGATGAGTTGGATGAGTCGGTCTCTCTCCAACGATCTGCCAGCCTTG